CCCCCTAAGTAAAAAATTCTCTGGCACTCAGTAACAATTCGTCGTCCCTATTTAAAAATTTCCTCTGGCACTCGGTAACAATTCTGTCTGCCCTGAGAAAACAATTCTCGGGCCCCTCAGTAAAAAAAATTCTGTCTGTCCCTGAGAAAAAAATTCAGTGGGCCTAATTAAATTTTCCTGGGGCCCAAAAGTAAAAATTTCCCCTTTTGGGCATTCAGTAAAAATTCCCTTCTCTTTCCCCTAAAACAATTCTCTGGCACTCAGTAACAATTCTGTCTGTCCCGAGAAAAAATTCTGGGGCCCTAATAAAAGTTTCTGTGGCCCTAAGTAAAAATTTCCCTCGGGCACTCAGAAAAACAAATTCTTTCTGTCCCTGAGTAAAAATTTTCTCGGGCACTCAGAAAAAATTCGTCTGCCCCCTAGAAAAATTTTCTGTGGCCCTAATTAAAATTTTTGGGGCCCCTAATTAACTTTCTTTTGGAAATCAGTAAAAAATTCCCTGCCCTGCCCTGGTAACAATTCTGGGGCCCTAATAACGTTTCTGTGGCCCAAGTAACAATTCTCGGCACGAAAACCCAATTCTTTTCTGTCCCTGATTATAAATTTCCCGGTGGCCCTAACAAAAGCTTTTTCTTTGTCCCTAAATAACGTTTCCGGGGCCCCCTCTTTAAACGTCTGTGTCCCTGAAAGGGTTTTCTCTGTCCCAAAAAGTAACTTTTCTCGCCCCCAAATTTAAACGTTTTTTGGCCCAAAACTTTTTCCCCCTGCCCCCTAAAACAGAGCGGCCCTGCCTCTGTTCAATAACTGAAAGGAAAATGAAAAATTTCCCAAATGGCCGCTATTTAAAAGCTCGCCTTTAAAAGTGCCCCTGGCTGGCTGCTGATAGCGGATGCATCACATGTATTTTTGAGGCATGCCTTTAGGGGTCAGCGCCCCTTTTGTTTTGCGCCCCTTTCCCCGACACCCCGCTCCGTCCCCCGCCCCAATTCAGCCGCCATTTACTCTCTAATCTTTGCAGTGGACGCATAGTGACATCAAGATATCAAATCAATCTGATCTATGCCTTTCCACCCTCTAGATTCTTCCTTGCCTGCCTCACAGGATTAAGAAAACAAGGGCACTCCTGTGATCTACATTGCACTGAAGAATGTGGTATTCCAACATACGCAAGCTCTTGGAAGATGCTCCATGGGCCCTTTCGGATCATCCCTTCTTGTCCCAAGCTAATGCTTGGACGCTAGCTTTAATGGCATGGCTGTTGAAGCTTTGGTCCTAAAGGACAGGGGCCATTCGGATTCAATGTTCCCTACCCTCTAAGGCTAGAAAGTGGACTTCTCTTAAAGATTATCATCGTACCTGGAAGGACCCACTTTGCTTGATAGAGGTTGTGGAACTTTCATTCTATTAAGTACTTTGTGGGACATATACTGTCTGTCATCCAGTCTGCCCTGGACCGCTATCTGGTTTTGACAAATCTCTGCCTTGGTCATTCTGTTTGAGACCTTTGGCCTCTCACTCTCTAATTTAGGCCTTTGCTCAGGGAGAAGCACACATTTCTCGTCCTATTTCTCTGTATCCCCTTGGAATCTCAATCTGATTATTTTGGCTCTTCAGAAGCTGCTCTCTGAACCTCTCAGGACCGCCTTGTCTGGCCTTATCTGTAAAATGGTATTTTTTGGCTATAAATCTCTGCCAGGAGAGTCTGAGTAGGCAGCCTTATGCTGTGTCGGACAAGGTTGTCTTGAAGACTAGAGCTGGGTACACATGGGCCAAAAATTGTCCAAAAACAGTCGGTTAGGCAGGAACCAGCCACCTTTAGGCCCATGTGTATGGCTCCCTGTCTGTCGCACAGCCATGCTGGAAAACCAGCATCCAATGGCCAGTGTGTCATAGCAGGCGGGGGGGGAGAACTGTCATTTTTTTCTTCTTCAGCCTGCTGGGTCGAACGAAAAAACCAGTGAGTACCAAGCTTAAGGCCTCTTTCTCCTGAAAGTGATTTCCGCTTTCCACTTTAATCTAGATATTGTCCTCCATTCCTTATGTCTTGCTCTGAAGCATCAAAAGGGAAATTTCTCTCCACTATCTGAATGTGGTGTGCATGCTAAGAATTTACCATTCAGCTACTGCGGCCTTTAGGAAATCAGATCCACTTGTATTTCCTGAGGGTTTCCACAAGGATCTCCCCTTTTTTTGCTCTACTACTGCTAGGTGAATTCAACAATTTATCATTAAAGATTAACTCCACCATGGTTTTTTTTTCAGCATCAGGAATGGATTTATCAGATTTGCAAGGCTGCCAACCTGGGCTTCGATTCACATTACTATTAATTTGTTAATTTCTGCTAGGTGGATGCTCAAGCTTCTCAGAGTCTGTGGAGCCCTTCTTGACCTATTTTTGTTATTGAGCCGGTTTGCATTGCTGTGTTGTTTACCATTCAGTTGGACTGTTTTTTGATGTACTAGTCATAAAATGATTTTTTACGAGAAAACTCAGTTTCCTGGATTAACCTACAGGATACAGGACCCTCCCTCTCCGTTTTAATGATTGTTTATTTATTTTCTTCAAAACTGAAGCTAGCTTGGAGTTTGTGGGGTTACATAGGGGGATGTCCCTGCAGCAATTCTTTTTTTTGCCACTGTCCATTCACCTGAAGATAATTGCACACAACCCAGGAAACAGATTATACTGGTAAGTCAAAAATCCTCTCTTTACATAAAATAAGTTTTATTCACTTTCAATGTCCCTTTGAACTTGGTAAGGAATTCAAACACTCCAGGAAGAGTAAATTCCCTAGCACTGACAGGTCCCCTCTCACTCCTTTCCTCTCCACATAACTATTATGTAGCAAACAGGGGAGGTACAGAAGCACACACTATAGACTCACTTGAGTCTGCTGGGTTTGCCGACATGACATTTAAAGATGGCAGAGTCCAGTAGCAGTCTTGTTGGTTTAGGGCCAGTTCACACCAAAACATTGTGCGGGAAAATTTATTTTCCATGTGCGTTTCCTGCACCGAGTTCAAAGCATACTGCAATTGTTATCTGCAGAATTTGTCAGTGTTAACGACTCCACAAACACAGCGAGTTTCCTGCACCGGATCACACGGTGCAGTAGTACCATGCGATCCTTTTGCTGTGCTTTTTAAAGTAGTGCATGCAATACTTTTGGTGTGGCCTGGCACGATTTCAGCCCATTCAAATGAATGGCCTTAAAAAGCACTACGCCTGGATCACATGTGAATCTCACAGTGCATTTGTGTACAATTCAAAGTGTGAACCAGCCCTTAAGGTCTACACAGTGACTCTTTTACATGTAAATACTATGGATAAAATACATTAATACAAAATACATTATGAACTACTTGGTAACCGTGCTATAGCTGAATGCCGGCTACAGCGCGGTTACCCAGTTCTGGGAGGAAGTCATATGACACCCTAGGGGCGCGCACCTGGCGATCTCCATGAACGCGGTGTCCTACGGACACAACTGATCACGTGATGAGGTAAAATGCCAATCACAGCGGCCTTTTACCACATGATCAGCTGTGTCCAAGGACACAGCAGATCATGAAGTAAATACAGTTGCCGGTTATCAGCAGCACTTTCCTCATGCTGTTACAGCGTGAGAAAAGTACTGCCGATAACCGACAGCTGTCAGAGGAGATTGGCATGGATCATCAGGGCACTGATTATCAGCGCCTCCCACCAGTGCCTCCCACCAGTGCCCAGCAGTCAGGGCTGTCAGTCAGCACCGTCCGTGTCACCCATTAGTGCCACCTATCAGTGCTCATCAGTGCCACATCATCAGTGCCTCCTCATCAATGTCCACCAGTGCCACCTCATGAGTGCAGCCTCAACACACATCAGTGAAGGAGAAAAAATTACCTGTTTGCAAAATTTTATTAGAATAGAAACAAAGAAAACCTTTTTTTCTTCACTGTTTTGCTCTTTTTTTTTTGGTTTATAGAACTAAAAATAAACACCCAGTGGCGATTAATTACCAAACGAAAGCTCTAATTGTGTGGGGAAAAAAAAACAAATTTCATATGGGTACAATGTTGCATGACCGCGCAATTGTCATTCAAAGTGCGACCGCTGAAAGCACGAAGGGGGTAAAAGTGCACTGTAGGCAAATGGTTAATCTAATATTGTTGAAATGAATGGTCTGGAGACAGGTTCTCTCTTCAGGGATTAGGAATTGATCTGAAAATCAGGCAAATTAGATTTGTTTTAATTTGCCTAATATATACATATTCATGCAGAAACAGTTTATTAAATCAAGACTGTCTGCATTCCTGAGTTGCACAGTTCTTTGCACATCAGACAGATCTACATGAATATATTCAGACAAAACTAAGATTTGCAATCTGATGGTTTGCTTAATTTGATCTAAAATAATTATCAATAGATTATGTGAGAATTAAAAAAAAAATTTAAATTCACCATTAGCACACTTTAATCAGACTAGCTGTAGAGTATTTTTGTACATTTCCATCATGACAATTCAATACATTAATCTATTAGATTTAAAGTAATTGTGGTTTAAAACAGTACCGCAATTCTTCAGACTCAGCAATGGGTGAGTTTTTGGCAAGGGTTCAGGAGCAGTAACATCTAATCCAGCAGCTGCAATCTGTCCACTGACCAGCGCCTGGTACAAGTCTTCCTGGTTCACTGCAGTGCCTCTGCAAATAAAAGATTAGCATATACATCTAGAACTCTCCAAAACTCCAGCAAATTAGTAAACTGTCATTACATTTTTATAGTCATCACCTAGCGCACATTCCTAAATGTAAAATAAATCGACTGTACACATTTAGAAATGGACAGGGAAGCTGAAGGCAGCGAACTCATATTTTGTGCCTGCTGGTGCTATTTTAGGACTGGCAGTGTTTCCAAAACATCAATCACTGACCAATGTCATGACCTTTGCCATGTCTTTCAACAACCTGTGATACTAGTTTGAAGAAGAGCCTGTTGCCATGAATGTAATTCATATTTTATTCATGCAAACACTAAACTGTGATCACATTGATCTTAGAGAACTGCAATTTAAATGCCAAAAAGCATATATCTGCAAGTATAGTGGGTATAGAAAAGAATCACCCCCTTTAGCCTGGCTTCACATATGCGGTGCGGTAGATCACGTGATTCGCACAGGAACCGCACCACATTCCTGTGCGAATCACATGCGAATTGTGTGCAGTGCAATTGGAGCTAATCGCACCTGCACCAAAAACATGCAGGACCCTATATTGGTCCGCACTAGAATCGGATCGCATGGGTTTCACACATATGTGATCCGATACTGCAGACTGCACCGCGTTTTGTGGACCCGCTTTTGGGGTGTTAACGCACCCACAGCAGTTCGCATGAACGGGGTGCGATTCTGATGCGGTGCGGAATTCGCACTGAAAACACTGCAAATTCTGCATCAGTGTGAACCAGGGCTCAAAATAATCAGATGTTGTTGCTTTGCAGCCTGAAATAAAGACAGAATCACTGAGTTGGAAAAAAGTGACTTGTAAAGTCAATCAGGTGCAGCTAATCACCTTCTCAATGGCACACAAAGCCAATGACTTTCAACTGTGATCAGCTGTGGTCATTTTGATTAGCTCAGCATGAAAACAGCATTTTTAGTCTGCAACTGAAGCAAACAATCAACTATGGGTGGCAAGGCACTGTAAACAAATCTCTGGGGTAAAGTTGTGGACAGACAAAAGTCAGGAGATGGCCATCTTGTCAGTTGGAAACATCCTTGAATTTACATGCAGAGTTCATTTAATGTTTGTAAGTGAAATATTCGTATTACATTTTGAATCTTTTAAAATACTACACTATGAAGAGGTCTCATTCTCTTTACATATATATACTATTGGGACCTTTTGATCATCCTTGTGGTTCTAGACTGCATTTATGCCATCGAGTGACTAGCGGTGAAAAACTTTGGTGGAGAAGAACCGTTCTGGACTCCTTGTCTTCACAGATTCCCTATATACAGTGGATATAAAAAGTCTACACCACACCCCTGATAAAAAAAAAAAACACTCTCTCTCTCTCTATGGAAGTAAAAATAAAAAAACTAAAAAATATGGTTGCATAAGTGTGCACCCCCTTAAACTAATACTTTGTTGAAGCACCTTTTGATTTTATTACAGCACTCAGTCTTTTTGGGTATGAGTCTATCAGCATGGCACATCTTGACTTGGCAATATTTGCCTACTCTTCCTTGCAAAAAACACTCCAAATCTGTCAGATTGCGACGGTCTCTCCTGTGCACAGCCCTCTTCAGATCACCCTACAGATTTTCGATCAGATTCAGGTCTGGGCTCTGGCTGGGCCATTCCAAAACTTTCATCTTCTTCTGGTGAAGCCATTCCTTTGTTGATTTGGATTTATGCTTTGGGTCATTGTCATGCTGAAAGATGAAGTTCCTCTTCATGTCCAGCTTTCCAGCAGAAGCCTGAAGGTTTTGTGCCAATATTGACTGGTATTTGGAACTGTTGATAATTCTCTCTCTCTTTAGCCTCAGTTCCAGCTAAAGAAAAAAAACAGCCCCAAAGCATGATGCTGCCACCACCATGCTTCACTGTGGGTATGGTGATGTGCAGTGTTTTTGTGCCAAACATATCTTTTGGAATTATGGGCAAAGAGTTCAACCTTGGTTTCTTTAGACCAGAACACATTTTCCCACATGCTTTTGGGAGACTTCAGATGTGGTTTTGCAAAATTTAGCTGGGCTTGGGTGTTTTCCTTTGTAAGAAAAGGCTTCAGTCTTGCCCCATAGCCCAGACATCTGAAGAATACGGGAGATTGTTGTCACATATACCACACAACCAGTACTTGCCAGATATTCCTGCAGCTCCTTTAATGTTGCTGTAGGCCTCTTGGCTGCCTCCCAGACCAGTTTTCTTCTCGCCTTTCCATCAATTTTGGAGGGACGTCCAGTTCTTGGTAATGTCACTGTTGCTCCATATTTTTCTCCACTTGATGACTGTCTTCACTGTATTCTATGGTATATCTAATGCCTTAGAAATTCTTTTGTACCCTTTTCCTGACTGATCCCTTTTAACAATGAGATCCCTCTGATGCTTTGGAAGCTCTCTGCGGACCATAGCTTTTGCTGTAGGATGCGACTAAGAAAGATGTCAGGAAAGACCTACTAGAACAGCTGAACCTTTTTTCGAATAATCAAAGGCACTTTAAATGATGAAAGGTGTGTACTGACTCCTATTTACATGATATTGAATGCGATTGCTTAATTCTGAACACAGCTACATCCCCAGTTATAAGAGGGTGTGCACACTTATGCAACCACATTTTAGTTTATGTTTACCCCCCCCCCCCCCAAATAGATTTCAATTATGTTTTACAGTTTATAGGTCACATTAAAAAGCTGGCAAAAAGTTCTAAAAAATTAGATCATGAAATCATTTCAGATCACAGAAACCTGACATTTTAACGGGTGTGTAGACTTTTGATATCCACTGTATGCGGTTTTGACCGCATGGCCTTTTGTCATGTTTTCTGGCAAGAGGCTGTGAGTGTTGCCAGTGGAGGATCTTTTCTTCTCTTTTGTAGCACAGTTTCTTCCCACGGATATGGGTTTTATATAATTTTTCAGTCACACACCATGGACTTATTTTGAGGACCTTAATTACATATTTTTATTATAAGGTCTCGTTTAAATGTGCGGTGAACTAGCGTTGCATATTGTTTTCTTATTTTTATTGTATGTTGCCTGCATTTTTTTGACAGCTGTTTCACTATATGAGTCGCATTTAGCACAGGTTATAATGATTAAGATTATGGGTAGCATAAAACAAGAAAGCAGAACCATAGAGCTCTCTATTTTCCACTTTATTAGAGCCCAAAAAGAATATAAAAATGTATATAATTTAAAAAAATTAAAGCTCTTAATGTCTGCAATGATCACAGCTCACGACATGAACTTGCAAGATAACCATGGGGGTGACTTCATGGGCTCAGCTTCTCCCTCCTGTACGCGTAACGCCCTGTGATTGGGCTTCCTCAACAGACCCACAGTTGCTGTGGCTCCATCCTTAAACTGTAGCCTCTCTGTAATCTGCTCAGTGATTTTAGCCAACCAAACTCCCATTGTAAGCATGTGGCTAAGGACATGTAATGGCCATAAAAAATAATGGTAGTCCTTATGCAGAAGGCAACAAGAGAAAAAGACCAGGCTGCCATTATTTCCTATAGTTATTCCATGTCTGCAGCTTTGAGTATGTGCCATGTTCATGTTGATCATCTGCAGTTACAGAGAATGTTCTGCTTGACAGGGCAGGCCATGTGAAGGAAGCCTCATTTTACAGTAATTTAAGACACTTTATTGTATTTCTTTTATTGTTGCTGAGGCTGAAGGCAGCAGTTGCTCAGTGATGGGGAAATGTCATATTTCCGTATTAAAGCGGTCTCATAATATCTAAGAAAGCAAGCCTCCACAGTCTAGTCACTTTAAATGACTTCATACCAAAGGAATGTCATTACAAACTGACCAAGTCCTTAAAAGTTGCTATCATGGAGGTTGGCCATTTCCTTACATATAAGTCCTGTAAAGAACACAGCTAAAGCTTAGAATATTTGTCTCATCTCAAGAGTAGCATCATTCAAGAGCCTGGTCTGATCATCTGTGCCACGCGGCACACGCGGTATGGGACTCAGTGGTGAAAAAGCATCTTAGTTAAGTATTCTTGTTATATTTTCTACTATTTACTACATTTGTTGTTATCTGTCATTACTTAATTATAGGTTATATCCACAAGTGTTTGTGTGATCTCTCTTTGCATACCTTCGAATACAATCCCCACAAAAAACTACCACGTAACGGTGATAAAACGCTGGGTTTCATATAAAAGAAAACACTTGTCCTTTATTGTCTAAACAGGTGAGCTGAGGAACATGATGAAAGTATTGCAAATGACCTACCTGCTAATGTTAATAAAAACTGAGGTTTTCTTCATTCTTTGAAAGAAATCCTTATTACACAGGCCTTCAGTCTCAGGGGTTAAAGAGCAGGACACTATAACGAAATCTGAATCCTCTGTAAGCTTTTCACAAGGTACTATATTGCACAGGAAAGAAAAATTAGATTACTAGGTTAACTATTAACATGTCCTTTGTCCATGGGGGGGGGGGGATGAATTAAAAAAGTCCTTAATACCATATTCAGCATTAACCACTGCAGCACGTTCAGGTCGGGGCTGACGTCCTGTGTATAAAAACTTTTTCACACCAAAAGGTTTAAGACGTTGGGCAATGGCCAGTCCTGGGAGATAAGAAAAAAAAAAAAAAAAAAAAAAAAAGGAGGAGGCGGCAAGGTAAATTATTTCAAAGCACATTGAGGTACACATGTGAATTACGGTCAGTAACAGATGGTTAAAACACCTATACCAGATGTATGTTGAAGCAGCACAGACTGATTCACTGCACACATAACGAAATAGAAAATGGACTATCATGGCCGAGGTAAAGCATCTAAAGCTTTCAAGAGTAAAGTGTCAAGCAATCCTCCGTTCATCTATTTGCATCTCAGTGCATGACCCCAAACTTCCACATTTGAGGAACACCAGGAACTTTAAATAGTTAAAAGGACAACTATATCCAAGCATTTTAGGCAAGACAGTCTTTTTGCACTGTGCCCTCCCTTCTTGCCTTCTACTATTGTAGAAGTTTAATATACAAGCCAACATCCTGCGCTAAAATGTTAACATAAGTCACTAAAAAAATATCAAGAAATGACGGCAGTACTCACTGTATCTGTAGCACGATACATAAAGGACTACCCAAAGCAATGTGTTGTGCTGTCTAAATAATTGTGAATCACAGTTACACATGTGGGGTTTTTTTTTTTTTCGTTCTGAATTCAAATGTTTTGTTATTTGGATGTCTCCGAATTTCCTAATTACATTAGTAACAAATCTGAAATAACGAAATTAAATTCGGACAAAAATTAGAATAAAAAAATTGAATAGAAACACAATAGAATAAAATAAAAAGAAGAGAACAGTCTTCCAAAAGTTGAATTTCGAATAGAATAAACTAGGAAAAAATATAATAGAATAAAAGAGAAAGAATATAATTGTCTTATGAAATTCGACTAGGATAAATTCAAATAAAATAGAAAAAAAAAAAAAATAGAAAAAATAGAACGGTCTTCCGAAATTCGAATAAATTTGAACTCTAATAGAAAAAAAGTACAGAAAAACAATAGAATAAAATAGAAAGAATATAATAGTTTTCCAAAATTCAAATAGAATACATTTGAACAGAAATGGATAGAGTAGAACAGATAAAAAAACCAATAGAATAACATAGAAAAAATATAACTCTTGTCTGAAATTCGAACAGAATAGAAAATAGAACAGAAAAAACAATAGAATTCAATAGAATAAAATAGAAAAAATATAAGCGTCTTCGGATTCTCGAATTTCTGAAAAATTCTAATTAGAATAGGATTAGAAAAGAATAGAAAACAAATAGAAAATAAGTGAATAGAAAAAAAATTTGAATAAAATAGCAAGAATATAACCATCTTTTCAAATTTCAAACAGAATAAATTCGAATTCAAATACCAATTCGAACTGAAGTCAAATAGAATATCAAATTTGAAAAAAAAAAAAACAAAATTAATTTTGATATGAATTAAAGGAATTTAACAAAACAAAATTTAAATAATCGAAACAAAGTTTTTGGTTCCGTTCATGTCTAATCACAATAGAGTGCATAAATGAAAATCCAAACCTATATATCAAAATACATAAAGACACAAATTCATAAAGAAAAATGAAATGCATATAAATATACAAATAAATAAGTGTTCAGATATTCATGAAAGTTCATAAACAAGAAAGTTCAAAGAAAAAAAAAAAAGAGAGCAACCAAGTGTTATATGAAAGCAAACATGCTCAATCCTCACCGTCGTGCACACCAACATAATATTGTATTTATTGTAGAAGTTTCATGCCCCAATGCCAGCTTGCTGGGATGGGCAATTCTCTGACGCTAGTGTTGAAGCTTGCCTGCTTGCTACCGCCTTCCACACCTTCCTACTGGATCATCAAAAATAAGCAGAAGATGGGAGGACCAGGCAAAGTGACACTCCTGGCAAGTGTCAATGCTTTGCAGGTCCCACTGCCCCAACATTTCAATGTAATGGCAAGTCTTGGGAGGATGCAACAGGTATGTGCACTTTACCTTTCAAGTGCTTTTGCTTTAATCATAAAGGTCACTTTTAAGTGGAACTGAAAACTTGTAATTCAAAAAAAAAAAAAAAAAAAAAAAAGGAAAAAGGAAAATTCCAAAAATTGTTAGCAGGTAGGTATTTATGATAGAAGAGACTGTCTCTTCTACTAGAAAATCTCTTCCCCTGCCTGCTAACACTTTACAAATTTTACATAGACAGCTGCACATGTGCTTAGTATGTGCTGGGTGTGGTGACATGGAGGTTATGTCACCTCAGCCAATCAAGACAGCTTGGGAGCCAAAAAAAGACTAGGAAACGATTGAAGTGACTAGGGAGAGTGCAGGAATCACATCACTGGAGAACACTTTGGAATGTAAAGCTGGCCTTAAGTAGCTCTTTTTTTTGCTTTCTGTCAAAAACCTTGTTTGTGTGAATGGAGAATTCCCCATTGCCTGGGCATGGTATTCTACCACAGGACCTGATGCTGTCAGAAAACATTTGTCGATCTGCAGCTGCTGATCAGTGTATCCTAACGTCTCCATTCAACAAAAGGTAGTGATCAACTACTGTCAAGGAAGGATGCCACTCACCAATCGAAATGGAGTTGGTCCCTGCTGAACCGAATGAATTTTCATTGGTCTATGGCCAGCTTTATTGTAGCACATTGTACAAATATTCTGTGCACATCTGCACATTATGTCTAAAGCCCACCCACTATAATGTAGACTTTAGTTCGCTTTCCAGAGCAACTAACAGAGCAACCAATGAAAATTAATCTTGTACCCAGGGATGCATTTACCACAAGGCAAACAAGACACTTGCCTGGGGGGGGGGGGGGCACTGCCCCCCGGAAGAAGGGATGGAAGGGGGGACACATGCGTCATGGGGACCAGGTGGGAGCCGAGAGAGGTTGCAGGCTGCTTGATGGTGTATGCAGAGCCCGACTCTTGTTCCCGGGCCTGTGCAGAGCTGTGAAGGCGAGTGTCTTTGACAAGGGGGGGTATTAGTGGAAGGCTCTCTCAGGTGGGGGGGTGGGCAGGGCAGTTGCTGGTCAAGGTCAGGTTCTCTCTATGGGGGGGCGCCCTATTTTTGTGTTGCCTAGGGCAGCACCAAAACCTAAATACACCACTGCTTGTACCATTATATGTTAGTTCTAAATGGTCCTATACTTCTAATCCGTACTTAACTCTGTATTGAGTAAGGCTGATAAAGAAGACAAGCTGAGTGTTTGGAACTTTAGTTTATTTAGTTAATTCACTGCTTGCAAGCGGTGTTAACATGCCCCAAATACTTTTAAATGCCCCAGTGTGGCTAAACACTTCCTTTCATTCCCATGTCTCTTCTGCTCACTTCCGGGTAGGGGAGGATGTGCACTAATTACACAGTGATGACAGGAGAAGAATGCACACTGGAGGACAGAGGTTAGGGAAGGAGTGGTTTGCTGCTATAATTTCAGAAAGGGATGACATTGTGGGATGCTGTCAAAGGAGAAACTGAAGCAGTGGACAGTTGCACCAGCGCTAAAAGGGATGACATGAATCCGGTGGAGGGAGGACGTTGTACACACCAGGAGGAATCTTTTCATTAGTATTAGGCTAAAAAAAAGGAAGCTTTAGTGCAGGGGCGGGCTGACCATTTGGAAACTCAGGCACTGCCCGAGGGCCCGGAGTCAGTAGGGGGCCCCATGAGATGCCCCTGGTACCTTTTTTCATAGGCTTTTTTGAGTTTGGGCAAGGACACAGGGGCCCCATGATCCCCTATTGCCTGGGGGCCCCATGAGTCGTCAGTCCGCTCCTGCTTTAGTGTCACTAATTCTTTTTATCCATAATTACCAAATGCAGAATCATGAAAACAGACAATCAACTGCACTTAGAGCTACATAATTTTAAGGGCATTACCTATTCTTCCCAAGCCAATGATTCCAACAGTGCTGTTAGACAATCCATACCCACACATCCACATGGGAGACCACGATTTCCATCCTCCACTTTAAGACAAAAATAGAACTATGTTAGCATAGGTTTTTATCTTTAATATCTTATTGCAAATTCAAAAGGAAAAACACAAGGGAAAAAGCAAAAACACTCTTGTAAGTATAAAGGCACAATAGTGGGTACAGGTCGTAGAGACAGAATATAAACTCTATGGGTGCAGAGTACATATGACAACCCGCAGGTCAGGAGTGTGGCATACCAAAGTACATCTGACATGGAGAGCAGGTTTTACAGTTTTTATAGGAAAAAGAAGAGATCAAGGGGGAAGAGGAGAGAGAGGGTGGACAAAAGAAAGTGTGGTAAAAATGAGAGGAGATGGATGCAATATGGCTAGCACAACTCAGTCATCGAAAGACAAAAGTAGAGCAGGGTTTTTTAAAATAGATTTTTATTGTAGAACTTGGTAATAATAGGATACGATTGGATTATGGAACTACATTATAATGAAGGGCATAACTCATAATCACAGAATATGATAAAGAAGAGTAAATATAAGCTTTGCATTGAGCATTCAATAAGCAGAACATAAACTTGATTATATTTGACAAAGAGCACTGATGTATGTCATGGATTAAATGTAACCTTGGAAAGGTCTTTCAATCAAGAATATAACTCCACTGTAACTATATGCCATTGCAGTTTATTATTGTAGGATCAATGCAATCTAAGGAATCTAGATATTTCAAAAACAAAATTATATTAATGGTTTGTAAACTGAGGGACATTGACATGAAACAAATATCTTATCACATAATTTTAGAAAGATGTAGTAACTCTTCTGGCTATGGGGTAGCAGGACAAAAAGTTAACTGCTCTCAGGGCAACTATAGGGTTGTTCTTGGGCCCCCCCCCCCCTCCCCATTTAGTTATGGTTTCCTCCAGGGTAAAAAAAAAAAAAAAAAAGTATTTTTTTTTTTTTTTTTTTTTTTTTTTACTTGGAGCCTGTAAAGCGTTGCACCAGAAATCTGCAGATCGCAGGTGCAATGCAGAGCTCTTGCAGACTGCGTAAGCAGTCTATTCGTACCTTGTACAAGCAGGCAGCTACAGTACACAATGACAGGCAGCATCAATGTACTACATAGAGCAATAAACAGCACCCTGGTAGTTCATTGAGAACTACAAGCCGACAGCTGCAAAGCCTGCCGGTATGTGTAGTTCTCCCATTCATATAACTCTGTAAATTATTGACAAGACCAGGTGGGCAGAGCCATGTTTTTTTTTTTTTTTTTAAACCACCTCCCGCCCGCCATATAAGCAAATCACGGGCGCAAGGCAGTTCTCTCATTCTGGAAGAATGTCATATGACGTCCTCCCACTCTAACAGCAAGAGCGCGGCTCCGGGGCGGTGATCGGTGGTGCGCTGTATCCCTCGGACACAGCGGATCACCAAACAATGGAAAGAGCCGAAGACATCGGCTCGGTCATGTGATCAGCTGTGTCCAATCACAGCTGATTGCATGTAAATAGGCAAATGCCGGTTATCTGACAGCTCGTGAGGAGAGCCGGCAATCGGCATTCCTCAGAGGGGACACGTACACTAATTATCAGTGTGCTCTAATGATCAGTGTAGCCCCAGCAGTGCCACCTGTTAGTATCCATCAATGCCAGCTGTCAGTGCTCAGCAGTGCCACCTGTTAGTATCCATCAATGCCAGCTGTCAGTGCTCATCAGTGCAGCCTCATTAGCACACATCAGTGAAGGAGAAAAAACACTTATTTACAAAATTGTATAACAAAAACTAAGAAAAAAAACGTTTTTTTTTTAATTCTCAGTTTTTGGTTTGTTTAGCAAAAAAAAAAAAAAAAAAACCCAGGAGGTTATTAACCATTTGCCTCCCGCCCTATGGCCGAATGGCGGCCGGCAAATGTCATCAGCGTTCCTCCCACACATGCGCAGATCGCGCTCCTGCAGAGCCGCGCAATCTGTCACCGGCCATGTACCTCGGACACGGTCGATGACAGATCTGAGTACCGGCCCCCGTTGCCAGTACCATGTGACCAATCACACAGCAGGTCACATGACAGTTGTATACAATGGATGGCTTCATTCATGCCATCCATTGTATACTAGTGTTTATACAAGAAAACTTATTCCTGCGCCAAAACTTTCCAAATAACACTCTAAAAATGCTGCTGTGCCAATCGTGAAAACACAAACAATATAAATAAACAGCGCAAATTTAGATCATTAATCAGTATAATAAATCATATAAAATAAGTGCATAAATTATTCGTGTTTCCCCTTAATATTAAACAAAAACACCCAAAAGTCCATGTGCTGAAGACATAATTGAATTGTAGAAGTAAAAATGCAAATAAAAATAAAAGTGCCAACTTCTTTTCTTCAAAAAAATACTTTCACCTTCCACCAGTGCACACACCAACATCGAATACACTCACCAGAACTTGGTGAGTAAAAGACCTTTAAGGAATTTTTAGGGATCCTAAACCCTCTTTGGTGCCACGCTAGGGAAAATCTTCACCCTCCGAATAGACTCCACCATCCAACCAAAAAAAAAAAAAACTCACATAGCATAATATTGTCACACAATAGTAACTTTTACCAAATGGAGATTAAGGCACACTCACATGTTAAACACTTGCTAAAGGCATGTTTATTATGTATAACAGGCTTCAGTTCCAGCAGATATACAAACTTTTCCTTCCAGGACTCTCACATCCACAATGGAACAAAGACAGAACTCCTCTTAGACCAAACAGTGAACCAAGATGGCCGCTGGAACGCACCGCTCAGCGTGCGTTCGCTCACTCCGGAAATGACGTCAGGCGCATGGAGTGTGGACCGGAAATGCGTCAACGCGTTTCGCCCCTCCCATAGGGCGTTATCCAGGATTAGGGAGCTACTGTATATTTATTCATTGTTCAGGATGAATTGCATGACATTTATAGTATAAACAAACATCTCGTTTTTTCCTATTTCATACGTTTTTTTTTTTTCCCCCATACTTACCATAATAATAGCAACAGGCTGACACCAGACAGAGTGGGGTTGGTGTGGGGGGGGGGGTGTGTGTTGGGGGGTGGGGTGTTTGGGGGGTGTGGGGGGGTGGGGTTTGTGGTGGTGGGGGGTGTGTGGGGGTGTTTTTGGGTTGGGGGGTTGTGGGGTTGTGGGGGGGGGGGTGTGTTGGGGGTGGGGTGTTGTGGGGGGGTGTGGGGGGGGGGGTTTGGGTTTGGGGGGGTGTTGGGGGGTTGGTGTGGGGGGGGGGTTGTGGGGGGTTGGTGTGGTGTTGGGGGGGGGGGGGGGGGGGTTGTGGGTTGGTTTTGTGGGTGGGTGGGGGTGTGTGGGGGGTGTGGGGTGGGGGGTGTGGGGTTGGGTGTGTTTTTTGGGGGGGTGGTGTTGGTGTGGGGGTGGGGGGGTGGGGGGGGGGTTGGTGTTGGGTGGTTGGGGTGGGGGTTTGTGTGTTGTGTTTTTTTGGTGGGGGTTTGGTGTGTGGGGTGGGGGGGGGTTGTGTGTGGGGTGTGTGTGTGGGGGGGTTGTGGTGGGGTGGGGGGGTTGGGGGGTTTGTTGGGTGTTGGGGGTTGTTTTGGTGTGTGTTTGGGGGGTGGGGGGGTGGGGGGTTTTGTGTGTTTGTTTGTGGGTTGTGGTGGGGTGTGTGTGTGGGGGTGTGGGTGGGTTGGGGGTGTGTTGTTGGGGGGTTGTGTTGTGGGTGTGTGTGGGTGTTGGGTTTTTTGTTTTTGGGTTTGGGGTTTGGGTTTTGTTTTTGGGGGTGGGGTGTGGGGGTGTGTGTGGGGGGGGGGGGTGGTGTTTTGGGGGTGGGGGTTGGTGTGGTTTTGTGTGGGGGGGTTTGGGGGTTTTGGTTTGGGGGGGTTTGGGGGGGGGGGGGGTGGTGGTTGGGGTGTTTTGGGTTGGGTGTGGTGGGGGGGGTGGTGGGGTTGGGGGGTTTGGGGGGGGGGGGTTTTGGGTGTGGGGTGTGGTGGGGGTGTGTTGTGTTGTGGGGGTTGTGTTTGGGGGGGGGGTTGGGTGGGGTTTTGTTTTTGTTGGGTTTTGGGGGGGGGTTGGTGGGGGGTTGGGGTGTTTTTTTTGGGTGGGGGGGGTTTGTTTTTGGTGGTGGGTGGGGGGGTTTTGGGTTGGGTTGTTGGTTTGGTTTGGGGGTGTGTGGGGGTGTGTGGGGGGGGGTTTTTTGGTTTGGTGTTTTGGTTTTTGTGGTGTGTTTTGGGGGGGGTTGTTTTGGGGTGTTTTGGTTTTGTTTTTTTGTTGTTGTTTGTGTGGGTTTTGTTTTTGTGTGTTGTTTTTTTTTTGTGTTGTTGTTGGTGGGGGGTGTTTTTTGGGGGGGGTGTGTGTTTTTTTTGTGTGGGGTGGGGTGGTTGTGTTTTTTGTGTTTTGTTTGTGGTTGGGGTGGGTGGGGGTTGTGGGTGGTGTGGTGTTTTTTTTGGGTGTGTGTGGGGGGGTGTTTGTTTTTGGTGGTGTTTTTGTTTTGGTGGTGTGGGGGTTTGGGTGGTTTTGTTTGTGTTTTTGGGGGTTGGGGGTGTGGACAGCCTGGCCTGGGGGGAGCGCACTTGCTCAGATGCTCCCACAGCACACTGCTTCATCCTGCTCTAGGTGCCTCTTTAGCAAGCCGACAGTGCCAGATGGGGGACTTTCAAAACAGCAGGGAAAAAGGGGACAAAATACCACTCTGTGAACCACACAAACAGGTATATATTGAATTTTACTAGGTTTAGATAAAGTTGTTTTTTTTTTCTTATGTCAGTTTTTTTTTTCTTTAATTAATCATATAGTGACCCCACCAGTAACACACTTACTGTCCTGATATGAAAATCTCACTTTGGTTGTACTTTGGAGGAGCAGTGTTGTCATCCTAGGCTGCTCCCCCAATTTGAACTACAAACATCTCATAATTTTTTTTGATTTTTACTATACTTAAAAAGTAACCTTATCAACTGCTTACCTTTTCACCTCTTGTATGGCTTCTGGCAGGCGTCGACATGTTTAAGCAGTAAGGCTACGCTTAGCTCAGCTGTGGCATCAGTCAACATCTGGTGTGTAGCCCACTTTGATTCCACTGCACAAAAACACAGTCCAAAGTCAATATTTTTAGCCTTGTCTCTAACTTATATAAGATGACTTCAAAAGGAGCAGTGCTTGTAATCTTAGTGGAGCAAAATACATTTTTTTTTTATTTCATTGATTGCCAAGTGGTCAAAGCCCACAGATAATGTACTGATAACCTTGAGATTGGGCCCTGTAAATGGTTTTAATCACAATAAAATTATGATGTTTATACAAAACGTGTGTTTAAAGTTGTTGAAAACCTCAGGACATGAAAAATGTACTTTATATTGTGCATTTGTCTCAATCCAGAGCACTAATTTTTTGTAATTTCTGTTTGCTGCCTGTTCCTCTGCTATAAGCAGGGAGTCACTTATGACCAGTTTTCCCTGACACCAAGAGATAAAGAGTTGACAGGGGAGGGAGCTCCAGCAGTCTTTGACAACCTCAGCACTGTTCCTGTGGGCTGTGTGAAGGGAGCAGGTCCCTTCTTCCAATCAACTCTCAGAGCTCTCCTCACTGATGTAACTTCAGCTCCCCATTCCATGCTTTTCAGAGCTGACTGATCCTGTGGTAATTCTGCACTATGAATGGGATGTAGGGGATAAACAGGTAAAACTTATGTACGAGGATTTGTTTTAAATCTCCATGTATCACCTGAGGCTAGTCACTTCACTGGGTATGTGTGAGGGTTTACAGCCACTAATATATTTTTGTTAGTATTTTCTCCATCAAAAAGGATACAGAAGAAGATTATACAACTTTTTATCACCAACAAAGAGCGATAAGCAGTAAAAAAATGCAAGAATTTGTTTAAAACAAACCCATTTTTTACTTTCGGCTTCATAAAAGCATTAGACTGCGCATGCCTAATGAACCAGCTAAAATTGGTTTCAGGGGCGGTTTCTGTTGGCTTCCTCCCACCCGACATCCTTCAATTGAAAACAAGGAGACATCTACCAAGGAGTGGTTTAAAGGTTTTACTTCTACAGTATGGTTTAGTGTACCTTTAACTTCATCCCTATTTTGAAATTAATAAATTACAGCGAACTAGAAGGGCAATACATTCAGATGAACACACTAAATAGCTTAAATCAGATTAATTAGAACTTTGTCCAATATTCCAAGCACATTATTCTGCTACAAGAAACCGACATTGCTTACCAGCTGTGTCCAGAAACCTCCTGATCTATCTTGTCTGACAAGACGCAGAGCAGACCATGTGCTCCAGCTACCCCGCTTAGCAACTCAGCCCTTGGCACAGGATCATCTGAATCCCACTGTTGGACAGTGTAGCTGGAAAAAAAAAAAAAAAAAAAAAAAAACGTTCATAGCTCATTTAATAAGCCCATATTTCACTAGGGACTTACCGATTACTAAGCCTCTGCATCCACAGCAAACAACTGCACAAACTGGGTAGTCGAATGTATCAGGGTGAAGGTAATGAGGGGTTAATGATTTACCAAGTCATGGTAAGGGCATGGCAAATCAATGAATGGATTGTTTGGCAGGAATCCTGTGAACAGCAGTCAGTTTTAATTAAAACTGAACTCCAGGCAGATAGTAAATGCCATTTAATCCAGTTATATTATTCATTAAAAAATAATTAATTGTATTCTACATATATTTGACACAAGTATCTGAATCTCTGTGGATATTAGCCTCCTGTAATCCATTGCATAGCCACATTCACAATGGGAAAGGGCAGGTCAGCATTCTCAGCCAGTCTGAGTTAAATTTCTTTTTAAAGTGCCATCAACCAATTGTTTGAACTTTCTTATAAGAGGGCAAAATGATGACCTCAGAGAGTTGCAGCTCCTTCAGTGTCTACAGCCCTGGCCAAAAGTTGAGAATGACACAAATATTAAACAAAGTCTGCTGCTTCAGTGTTTTTAGATCTTTTGTCAGATGTTACTATGGTATACTAAAGTAGAATTACAAGCATTTCATCAGTGTCAAAAGCTTTTATTGACAATTACATTAAGTTTATGCAGAGTCAATATTTGCAGTGTTGACCCTTCTTTTTCAAGATCTCTGCAATTCGCCCTGGCATGCTGTCAATCAACTTCTGGGCCACATCCTGACTGACTGATGGCAGCCCATTCTTGTATAATCAATGCTTGGAGTTTGTCAGAATTTTTTTCTGTTCACCAACCTCTTGAGGATTGACCACAAGTTCTCAATAGGATTAAGGTCTAGGGTTTTCTGGCCATGGACCCAAAACTCCAATGTTTTGTTCCCAAGCCACTTAGTTCTCACTTTTGCCTTATGGCAAGGTGCTCCATCATGCTGGAAAAGGCACCAAACTGTTGTTGGATGGTTGGGAGAAGTTGCTCTTAGAGGATGTTTTTGCACAATTCTTTATTCACGGCTGTGTTCTTAGGCAAAATTGTGAGTGAGCCCACTCCCTTGGCTGAGAAGCAACTCCACACATGAATGGTCTCAGGATGCATTACACAGCACTAATGATAGCGCTCACCTTTACTTCTCTGGACAAGGTTTTTTCCAGATGCCCCCAAACAGTCAGAAAGGGACTCGTACATCCCTATACCTTTTGCAGAATATCAGTCTTTCCCTGATGTTTTTTTCTGGAGAGAAGTGGCTTCTTTGCTGCCATTCTTGACACCAGGTCATCCTCCAAAAGTCTTCACCTCACTGTGTACAGATGCACTCACACCTGCCTGCTGCCATTCCTGAGCAAGCTCTGCACTGGTTGTGTTCCGATCTTGCAGATGAATGAACTTTAGGAGGTTCTGGCATTTGCTAGACTTTCTTGGGCACCCCAAAGCCTTCTCACAACAATTGAACCTCTCTCGAAGTTTTTGATGGTCCAATAAATGGTTGATTTAGGTGCAATCTTAGTAGCAGCAATATCCTTGCCTGTGAATCCCTTTTTGTGCAAAGCATTGATGACTGCACAAGTTTTCTTGAAGGTAAATATTTGTGTCATTCTCAAAACATGTGGCCAGGGCTGTAGACACAGGGCCGGGGCAGGTTTACATATAAAATACAAGTTCAGGTTTTTAACAATACATTTAGGTGGAGACAGGGCTGCTGATAGGGGGTACCCTCGGCCCTCCTGTAGGGGGCCTGGCCTCATCAGCTGCAGAGGGGGGCCCGTGCAGCTGACAAGCCCATTTGCAGCTGGTAAATTCCATTGATAGCCTCCTGTCATTCTATCACACAGCGCTCAGTGTTGTGATGTTAGCTGTGCTCCTGCTCTGTTCCACAGGTTTGACACCTTCAAGTTTCCTTCTGTTTACATTTGATTGCAACTTTGTTTCTCTCCTCTCCCCCCAGACTGCTGATCCCTTTCTGTTCACTGCTACTACAAAACTATCCCCTCATACAACTTGACCATCCCGTTATCACCTGTTCCCTCTACAAATCTATAGATCACTGCTCAACTATTTATTTACGGATCTAGTTATTGTGTCCCATTTCCTATCACCTACAGCTCAGATCTCGCATTATTATAAGATTCCTAATTGTATCTCACGACTAGTCTGACTGAATTCCAATTCCTGGTCAGTCCCGTTCCCTTACCTATAATAACCTTTAGGGCCAGTTCGCACTACATGCGTTTCAGTTGCTTTTTTCTGCATCCAATGCATAGAAAGTAGGTTATATGGTTATTAATTTCACAGTTCACATCAGTGCTTGCAATTTCAGTGTGTTCGGTTGCAAAAAAAAAAAAAAAAAAAACAGGCTGCATTTTTTCTGCACAGAACTGTACTGGAACGTGGTAAAATGCATCAAAAACACACCGGAATGCACATGTCCCTAATTAAATTGAAAAGAGGGGGAAAAAAATGAACTGGAATGCATAAAAAAACTGGAACGTGCTAAAAACGCATCAAAAACCACGCATGCAAAACTGCATCTGGAACAAACCTAGACTGCGTTTTTCTAGTGTGATCCGGCCCTTAGGACTTGTTCACACCATTTGTGGTGTAGAAAACGCAATGCCCTTTGCAGATGTGCATAGATACCATGAAAACTTAATTGCACCTTTAACATCTAGCAAACAAAGATGCATTCACAGCCACCAAAACGCATGGTACCACACAGGTGCTGACTGACAACTCATGGGGCCCCCGGGCAATAGGGGATCATGGGGCCTGTGTCCTCATCCACACTCAAACCACACCCAAAAAAAGTCTATGAAAAAAAAAAAAAAAAGGTACCAGGACCATCTCATGGGGCCCCCTACTGACCCCGGGCCCTCAGGCAGTGCCCGAGTATCCGAATGGTCAGTCCCCCCTGGCACCACACTACTGTGCGGTTAGGTGCAACACACTTTTAAAATAATATGCCTGCAGTATTTTGGCATGTTTCCACATGTTAGAAAAAAAAAAAGAAGAAAAAACACGTTAAGAAAAAAAAAAAAAAAAAAGTAAAAAATGCCCCATTCATACAGGTCCTCTGTCCTGTATAGCATGAAGGAGTGGGTTGTTCATGTGGCTGGACCCTCCTGTTACGCTATGGGGACACAGCAGCTGTTTTAATCTGACAAGTGTGAAGGCGCGTGGGGAAGTGGCCCTGAATTCTCACTGTGTGTACAGGGCTGTACACCTGCACCCATATGCCTGTCAAATTAGGACCTGCACCCATATGCCTGTCAAATTAGGGCCTGCAGTGTTTCCTTAGTGCAGTGTTTCTCAACTCCAGTCCTCATGGACCCCCAACAGGTCATGTTTTCAGGATTTCCATTATTTTGCACAGGTGATTTGATCAGTTTCACTGCCTTAGTAATTACCACATCTGTTTCATCTGAGGGAAATCCTGAAAACATGACCTGTTGGGGGTCCATGAGGACTGGAGTTGAGAAACACTGCCTTAGTGTAACATGGGTTGCCTGCAAACTGCTCCAAGCAGCTCCAGCCACATTAACAAACCACCGATTCACTCTACAGGCCACAGAACCATGTGAATGAGCCCCAAGACCTCAATTACACACACAGCTTTATTTATTAAGTAGTTTTATCATTTAGATTTAACAGGATTTTTGATTGTGTACATTAATAAAGTTTAGTGTATTTTTATAATATAATGTGATATATTCAAGGTGTTGGGGGGGGGGGGGGCCCTGTCAGGTAGGTTGTATGGGGCCCCGTGATATCCAACAGTGGCCCTGGGTGCAGATTCAAATTTACCTTTTCCAGTGGTTGCGGCTTCCCACCCTGTCAGGCTGTTCATACCTGTGCACCAACATCCCATAGACTTGAATAGGATGCTGCTTCTACAACAAGGGCATGTCGAACACTCGTACAGGTAAAAAGCAGTGTGCATCTGAACACACAAATCCTATCCGAGGAAACCTGTACTGCCATTTCTGACCTCCTTTTGTAAAAGCTACTTGGTTCACTACCCCTGAAACCAAAATATTTTTATTTCAGAATAAATAGGTAAAGTTTAAAAGCCAAATCAGTACACCTGAGATCCACTGGAGGAATTTACCTTCACTTCCTATACTGTACACTTAACAGTACAACATGATTTCATTTAAAGCAGTAGTAAACTCATCAGCATCACGTAAAACAGTATAAAATTACTTACTAGTACGTGTCTTTAAAAGTTCTTTAACTTGCACTGTTTAGGAGATATCACTCATTCTATGTTTCAAATACATCACTCACACATGTGCATTGATTTCTAGCATTTTGATATTTTCTCTGGTGTGTCTCCATCAGCATTACATTGTAGTCCCGCTAGATTACTTACCATTCACCAGTTTCTTGGTTTAACGTCACTGCACATGCGTGAGGTTACTGCATTGACCTGAAGGGGAAAGTTCGGGTGGGCAAGAGACTCCACAAAGACAGGACAGGAACCCCCTGTGTACAATTACAGCAGGTGCTGGCGGGATGGGGGCGGGGGCAGAAGCAGGCAGCGACGTACTAATACGTCGCTTTGCCTGTGGGTGCCACCCATATGCAGTACAGTACATTGCAAGTTAGTCTCACTTGTGATGTCAGCGTCAGATCACTGCCATTACAAGTAGAAGATGAAAAAAAAAAAAAAAAAAACCCCAAAAAACATTCCAGTAAATACACAGTGTTCCAAATTATTATGCAAATGATATTTGTCTCATTTACCTAAATAATTGATGTAAATAACAGTCAGCATAACTCTCATGTTATCAACTATTAAGAGTACAATTCAAATTTTAATTGAACAAACCTCCTAATAACAGTATTTTTTTTAAACATAAAACACTTCCAATGTACTGTTCCAAATTATCACGCACAGTAAGTTTCAAAACACTTTATAGGTTGTAAAGAACTGAAAATTGT